GAAGGTCATGGGGGACCTTGTCGAAGGCCTTACTGAAATCCAAGTACGCTACATCCACGACATTCCCCGCATCTACCCAGCTTGTAACTCTATCGAAAAAAGAGATCAGATTAGTCTGGCATGACTTGTTTTTGATAAATCCGTGTTGACTATTAGCTATGACCTCATTTGTCTCTAAGTGTTTGCAGACCACTTCCTTAACAATCCTTTACAGAATCTTGCCTGGTATCGACATGAGGCTGACCGGACGGTAATTGTTTGGGTCATCCTTTTTTCCCTTCTTGAAGATTGGGACCACATTGGCCCTCCTCCAGTCTGCTGTAACTTCTTCCATTCTCCAAGAACTCTCAAAGATGATTACCAATAGTTCCGAGATGACTTCCGCTAGTTCCTTCAATACTCTGGGGTGTAGTTGATCTGGCCCCGGGGATTTGAACTCATTTAGAGCTGCCACGCATTCCTTGACAACTTGTTTCCCAATTTGAGGTTGGATGTCCTCTAATCCCTCATCCACTCCATTTTGCTGATGTTGAAGCCGACTTTCTTTTTGTGAGAATACCGAGGCAAAGAAGGCATTAAGTAGTTCTGTCCTTTCCCTATCCCCTGTCAGCATTGCTCCATCTGAGTATTTATGATAATGAATGAATTTTCCATAGTCTAACATTTATCTTCATTGTATTAGTTTTTAAACCTAACTTCCAAACTCCTTGAAAGGGGTATTTTAAAATATAAAAGTATTGAATAATATTAGAATGGAGACTAATTTTAGGAGTAGACCAGTAACTAAAATTAGTCCTTATTTCCAGTCACTCAAAGATGCACATATGATCTGCCTCATAAAAAAGGGGGAGTATTTGTGCACACAGATTACTATAACAAACTGATATTTCAAGGTCATGTTTCTGTCATGGCAATATGATATTTCTGTTATCACCAAGGTTCTTGGTTTCTTGTAAGCTGTATAAAAACTACATTTCCCCAGATACTGTCTCTCCCCCCACCCCAAGGTTTTCCATTTCCATCCAGACCTATAAAACAACCAGGTTTCTTCAGCACCTGACTCAATAATAACAACAGAGTAATTCAATACCACTAGACTATATTGGAACATAAAGCTGTGAAAGAGCAAGCATTCAGGCTCAAATAAAATGGTCAATGAATTGATGGCTAATAAAACTGATTTAGATTAAATGTTTTGTTTTTTAAGCTAAGGCCATGTTGTCTAATTGAAAATGACTTCCCTTTCATTTATCAGGAATTTTGGACAGATTTTCCTGTTTAGTATAAGCCTAAAGAAAGGTTTGATGAGGTTACAAATGTGTTAGTACTTTTGAAATTGGATGACTGTTGTTGACCTGATTTTCCCCTTAGAAGTTAGGGTGCTATGTAATAGGTCTTTAAAAATTAGGGGGAGGGGGCATTAACATCCCTGAAGTGTGATGTCCAAGTTAAAAAAGGTAAAAGTGCTATGCTGGCAATATTTATCACAAAGCAAACATAACTCCAATCCTAAAATGGATTTTGTGAATGTTGGCTTTCATGCTATATTAAAAAATACATATTGCATAGGACCACAAACATATTCTAGAGAAAATGAACTATTATTCAGGGATTTTATTGATATGATGGAATATATATAACACTCTCCAGCTGCAATAAACCAGCTATATTTTTCAAAGGTTTAGTGAGAGAATAGAACAGATCAAATTTGATAACAGATAATGGTGAAGAAATGTTTACAGCTTAGTCCTTTGATGATTTTTTTTACACCGCAGGCTTAGAGGATAAAGAAAGAATAAAAGAATTGTATGCATTTCCATACATTTTTATTTTTTTTAACTCAGAATGAAAAATTCTTTCCCCCTCACAAAATACATAGAGCCATTCACACAACCTCTTGATCAGAAATCATTATTAGATGGAATAGCAGGGATTCAGGAATGACACGATTTTGGATCTTTATGTCAACAGACAACAGTGTCTTCTTGGTCAATTTTTAGAGTACTAAGCCATTGGTCACAGAAATCTGCTGTTCTAGAGAGAAAACTCCAGAATCAGTGACTACATATTGGTGGAGATATCCAAATAAGAGCCATTAATTGTATAGTACTATACCTTTGATTCTGTGCCTCACGGTATCCTAGTTTTCAGCCAGTATTGGATATTATCAACACTCTTAATAACTATTAATGAACTGCCTTTCTGGTGCTTAACAAGACATGGTAGGATCACACACTAAAACAGCTCCACTTGCTGCCTATATGTGTCCGGGCCCAATTCAAAGTGCAGGTTATTACCTACAAAGCTCTACACGGTTCAGATCCAGTCTATTTGCACGACGACGTCTCCTCCTATGAACCTGATTAGACGTTAAGATCTGCCAGCGAGGCCATTCGCATGGTCCCACCTCTATTACAAGCACGGTGGGCAGGGATGAGAGAAAAAGTCTTCTCAGTGATGGCCTCCTGGCTCTGGAGTGCCCTCCCCAAGGAAACCGGACTGGCTCCCACTTTAACTATTTTCAGGAAGGAACAGAAAACACGGCTGTGGAGACAGGCTTTTGGAACCCACTAACCATAATTTTAACTGTTGGAGTTTAAATTGAATTTTAATTGACCCTAGTGCTCAAACTAGCAAGAACAGGTCACATGATGTTTGCTCATTTTAATGTTTATATGTTTTATGTTTTATATGCTAACCTTTCACATAGTTTTATATCGATTGCAACATTATTGAGTTTTATTTCATCTTATTTATTATGACTAGTTTTATTTCTTGTGATTTAAATTCTTTGACTTGTTATATGTTTTATTATTATTTATGTTATTGTTTTGTTGTAAGCTGCACCAGGTACTTTGGGGAGACGTAGCTGGATATAAATGAATATTCATACATACATACACACTTAACTGCATATCCAATAGCTGGACAATGAACAGGAAAACATGTCCTCCATTTTAGATCTGAGAATAGTTTGGGTCCACCAAAAATGAAATCAGAGATGTTATGCTAAGGAAAGAACTACTTGAGCCCAGCTTGAGGCAGTGTGTGAAAATGTGTTCACATATAAAATTTAAAGAAATATGCATTAGATCTTTACTCATAAAGTTCTATGAAGCATATTCTTACAATTTCCTCCACTGAAAATTAGCTATTGCATAGTGCCCAAATCAAAATAGTACTGTGAAATATGTTTTTGAAGTGTGTTATCATTTTCTAATGAAATAGTAAAAATTACTCTTAGAGCTATCTTCATACTTTGGGAGGTTTTGTGCCTTACTTTTATCTAATTTGTATAGTTCTGATTTTCAATCAAATGCTATCTTTTTAAAATGATGAAAATGAATTATGGGAGAAGTCCTACTGAAATATATTTCCATGCATGTTAAAGATACATTTTCTTGTAGAGAATAACTATTTGGCTCTTAGGTATATCAGAATCGTATAGACTTTTTGTTACTTTATGAACCACTGAGGTTGGAAAGACAAGGAAGGTTTATTAAAATTAAGCAGGCTTTAGTCCCCCCCCCCCCCTTGAACTGCCATCCAATCTTTGGCAACTGAAGAATCATTCTCTTTTTAGCCCAGGGGTTGAATGGGACTTGTTACCTTCTTGTTATTGCTGGGTCACAGCTCACATTTCAATAGAACATGATAGCTGAGGCTGATAAAAGTAGGAGTCCGGCAACATGGGTAAGACCATAGTCCCTTATAGTCTCAGACTACGTGGCAGGCCTGTAGCCAGAGAGAGGGTTTAAGGTTCAAACTCTCCCCGCCCCCGAAATGTGTCAGGTTAAAAAAAACCCTGGTTTACTCATGAATTTTAACTGGTTAACAAATTCATGAGTAAGCCAGGTTTGTTTTTTAACCTGACACATTTTGAGGGGTGCTGGTGAACACTTAACCCCCCCCCCCGAAGCTACGGGCCTGGTCGCTGGACTTCTGGTAGAAGCCGCACCCACAATTGAAGTGGAAGCATCCTATGAAGCTTCTCTCCAAACATGGAAGCCTACCTGTGTTGTACCTGTGTTTTTCTGAGCCAGCATGGATCTGTGCAGCTTCGGCAATGCTTCCTCCATGTGATGGGGGAAGTATTGCCATGATGAAGCATCACATGGGGTGATATACTCGTCCCTCACCCCTGCCATTTCACCATGGAGGCTAGTGAAATGGCATGGGAGGTCCCCCTTGTGATGAAGTCCTCAGTCCCTGCCTAGCAAGATGGACAGTACTTTCTTTAATTTGATCTTTACCAAAAATTACTCAAAGACTGAGCACTCATAATTATTCTCTTATTTTGGATTCATGTATACACTTCCTCTAAATTTTAATTAAATAAACTGATGGTTTTATATTATATTTTTCACAATAACGAATGAACTAGTTTTACATATTTGTTTTCTTAAAAGATTTATAATCTTCTCTTCAGCCAAAATAGCTTCAAGATCTACTTGCAAATTTCACAGTTCTTCACCTTCAGATTTACAATCGAATGAGACTGGACACACAAAGAAAAGGGAATGACAATCGAAGAGGGGACTATACCTGGCAAATTCTATCTATTCTTTTCTCCCTCAAAGACTATAGCAGTGGCAGTTGTGATGGAGGAAGAGTCTTTGCTTCAGTTGCTAGGGCCAAAACATGATGGAGCTGTATGTGGCTCTTCTTCTCCCCCTCAGAGTCATAGCAGTAGCAGTGGTGATGGGGAAAAAAGCTTTTCTTCAGTTGCTAGTGCCAAGACATGGTGGAGTTGCGTCTGGCCATTTTTCCCTCCCTCTGATGACACGTCAGTGGCAGTTGGAATGGGGAGATGACTTTTCATCAACTGCTGAGGCCAGGGCATGATGAAGATGGTTTGCATATTAACTTGAACTTTTAGTATAATTTATATTTTCCTTGGTTCATTCAAGGGAATAGAAATAGAGAATTTCTGTACGTAATTTTGTCCACAATCTTAGACTACAAGTTGCACCCTGATGTTTTTCTTTTCCTTTGGAAAGGCCCTCAGGCGTGAATTGAAGGATAAAGAGCAAGCAATTCTAAATGCTGTGGACCAAGCCCGAGTCTTCCTTGCAGATCAGCCAATTGAAGGACCTGAAGAACCAAGGAAAAGCTTACACTCAAAGTCAGGTCGGTTTTCAGTAATGATGTATTTCATAACACGTAATTTTTAGAACAATAGAAGCTTATGAAAAGCTTAACTTCTTCAATTAAAATAATTGTTTTATTGAATATGTAAGAATTATTTCTTTGATAAAACTGCTTTGCAGTAAAAAAGAAAGTTCAATGAAATTTGTTTGCTTCTATATAAAAAAATACTATTTGGGAACTCCACAGAAGCACTATGTAAATAAAAATAAAAATTGGATGGCTGCAATTTCTATTTTCATCTTGTAAATTGTTGAAAAGATGAGCCAGGTTTAGGAGGTCTTCTGTCTTATAAATGTTGCTTATGTGTATTTGAAATGTCTTCATATTATGTCTTCAAGAGCTAGTGTCTCAGCTCTTTCTGGCAGATTGGATTTCTCTGTGATTTTCATAATGGTGATATAATTAGAATTGCAAAATCTTATCATTCACATATTCTTAATATGATTTAGGGGAGTTGTCTTTGAAGGGGTGAAAAAAACCCATAAAATCAATTTAAGAAGCTCTACCAAAATGTGTTTCTCAGGCATCATTCTCTTATGAAGATAATTGTTTTCTTGCTTGCTCTTAGCATTGCTAGCATTATAGAGGTGCTCTTTACACAGCCAGTGCAATCATTGTTTTAGCGAGAATTGCATGAAAAGAAAAAAATCTGGAAAGTAGATTAAGTAGATTAATATTAATAAAATTCATAATATTGTACCAATAATAGTTTAGTCTAGTGTTCCTCAAGCTATCTGGTGTACAAGACAGGTTTTTCCCCACCTATGTATGCATTTGTTTATTTATGCCAGTTGGTTACAATGGTTCTTTTATTTCCTGGAAATTCAGGAAAGCCAGCTGATGGCTCATGAATGGATAGTGGTCCATGCACCACCACTTTGAGTGGCACTGGTTTAATCAGTCTTATGCTTTCAGTGAAATTGCTGCAGATCTCCCTCTTTGCTGGTGGAGAGGGGAATCTATCACTAGAAGACTTCCAATGTAGTAGTATCATTTCTGTACTAGAAACTGATGTGTCTTAGGGTTTGTTGGGGACTCTGTCAACCACAGAATTTTAAGTGCCTTCATTTCTTTGAGAGACTTATCCCATCTTAAATATGTCAAGAATTGGTATAATGAATTAACCCACTGGAATCAATGCACAAAATAACTAATAGGACAAAATAACTGCTGTGATCCTTGCCTACCTAGGACTGCAGCATCTGTAAAAATAACTTCATTGTATGTAAAAGTTAAATAATCTTATATCGTGACTGACATTTCCTAGCCTGCTTCTCCATGTTGCCAGTAATTGGAAGCAATTTTGATTTCAGGCTGTTCTCTAGTGTAGTACCTACATTTACCTTTTATCTAATTTTGGCAGTTGTCCATGCAACTTTGGTTTGCTTCTGCTATGGCTTTACATTAAGAATACCTGCTGATTAAAACAAACATTTTCCCCAAGCTACTTTATATTAGACTGTTTCACCGGATCATGTCCCCAGCTGTTTCAAGCAGTCATGTACATGCTATGCTACATTAGGCAGCTTAGATGAGATGTTCCATGTGTAATCCAGCTTTCATCTAAATTAAAAGAATTATTATGAACAATATTTTTCCAAGTTCAAATTTGTTGAAATGATTGCATTAGAAGAAAATGGCAATCAGCTATATTCATTCATCAGCTGAGAGAATTAGGTTCATGAGTGATACCGTGGAAAATTGCTTCATTTAAAGACTTAAGCAAACTTTGAGTAGCTAATTAACACCTGGCTTCTTCCAACTTAATCATATTTATTAAAATCATATGGGATCTAATTCGGAAGGCCTTGAAAATTGAAAACATACCCTTTCCTAAGTATTTCTCTCACTTCTACACATCTGGCCTTTGTTTTTCTTTGTACAAGTAAAGAATGTATAGCATAGTAAATGCAGGGATGGAATTTTCTTTGGGACTCAAGGCAGGGGGAGATTTACCCTCCTTCATGGCAGCTGAGTTGTTCAAGATTACCAAGTGGGTTTCCATAGCCAAGCAGAAATCTGAACCTTTGTGCAAATTTGTCATATCATTTCTGTAATACTTGGTTTCTAAATTCTGACTATGTCAGCAATAATTCTGATATTATTTATTCCATAAAGTCCCACATATGTTTGTGGAATGGTGTGATCTCTATCTCCATCTGAAAAAAAAAATCAGGACATATTGTGGCTTATACATTTGTTGTTTGTTTTTAACTTTGCCCCTTGGATTATGAGTGGAGACTGCTTTTCCCACAAGGTTCTCAAAGCCCTGCCACATTGACTTGTCCTTTCCAACTCCTTAAAAATGAACCAAAAAGGAATTTTTAAAATATATGACATAACTTATCTGTGCCAATGTCTTCCTGAGTGGTTGGAGAAGTCAAGAATGACCTCCCCCCCTCTGTTGTTGTCTATGTCTGGTGCAAGATCCTCTAAGAATTTATCACTTTATTCTGGAAAATATGGAGTCATCTGTTCCATTTGTGAGGAAGCTAACATAAAATATCCCAATACTCTGAAGTGATACAGTACTGTAAGAAGACCAGAATGTTCATTTAGCTTTGCTCTGAAATACAATGACCTCTCCACATTTGTGGGTTTAACTTTTGCAGATTTGATTAGTCACACATTTTATTAATATGGTCTATCTAGGAATTGCTAGGTGCTTCATTGTGAGTCTATAGTCAACTTCTGGTGAAAAATGACAATAGAGTTGTGCAGGAGGACTCAGAGTTTCCTAGAGAGAACTCCTCATTCTAGTTATATTGGAGGACCTAGAGATTCCTAGGGGCATATTCACACAATCAAAAGAATAGAAGTATTAAAAATTGTGGGTTTTCTGCTTTTATTGAGTTTTGTGTCTAGCAAAGGCTGACTGTAGTACCATTTACCTTTCTCTGTTTTACTGTCCCTGTGATAACTGCATTTTGGAAAATTTGGCTTCTTTCTGGAAACAAGGATTGGCGAGAAAACTTCAGTGGAGACTTCTTTTCCCCATGATGATAACTGTCAAGAGTGAATTTTCCTTCCGAGGGATAGATTTCTTTTATTTCTTATTGTCTAACCCCTGTTTGTAACTACAAGTCATTTGCAAGTCAGATGTTTGTAACTTGAGGGCTACCTGTAGTTGTAATTCAGTTTCATGGTAGATAACAAGCTATTACTTTTGCACAGATGACTTTTGTTCATTATGGAGAAATGGATGGGTGAAACCAATGCAGGATTTGAAATAGTAACTCCATTTGTTGGACTTTCTTTCTTGTTGAGGGTGAAAAAATGGTGAATATTTCTTTCACCAACAGTATGCTTCTTTCTCCATCTTCTCAAAATTCAATTCCTTGCTATTTGACATTACAGAATACTGCCAGAATTCTTCAGTGTCCAAAGCCCAATCTTCCAGAATCCTATGAACCTTCAATTGTTAAAAAGAGGGAATTGTTTTAGAAACAAGCTGATGGGCACTTGGAAAAATCCCATGATAATAGCAAGTAATTATTCAGTAGCAAAGGTTATTTTGATAGATATGTCCTTCTAAATTAAGCATTCACCATCTGCTCTGCTCTTTAATTACAGGTGCAAAAAGCACAATAAATCATAAGAGAAATGTATGTTAGAAGTGATTTACATGCATGTACTTTATTTATGCTGGGCAACATCTGGCATGGCTGCATATTTCAGGTGTAAAGAACAGAGGTCACATCACACAGGGCAGCATTTGTTATAGCATGTTTTATATCCAAAGGCTGCTTTAAAAGCTTTATAACCAAATTTATTGGGAATGATTATTGCAAAAGCACACACCCATACAAGACATCAAACTATTACAAATCTCACCTTAAGCTATTTTGATTCTCTGGGAGTGTTTATACGCATGTTCTTTATGCCCAATAGGAAAATACCTAAAGCCCTGATCATTTGGTAAAATAATAATAAAAAATCAACAGAATTTTGTATTTATCTAAGGCACTATTTTATACAGAAAAATCAACATGGAAACATGTTAAATAGCACACATTTGGGGACACCCTATAGGGCAATGGTATTTTGGACTTCAGCTCCCACAATTCCTAACAACTGATAAGTTGGCTGGAATTTCAGGAAGTTGAATCCAAAACAACTGGATGACCAAAGGTTGGGAATCACTGCTCTAGTGTGAGAAAAGTTTATTCTTCTCTCATCCCCATGATAGCACCTTTCATTTCCCAAAAGTGTGAGTTTCTCCCATCTATAGCAGGTTTTAAGAGCAGAGGGCAGGTGAATCTCCACTCTCCCAGTTCTACTGGGGGAAAAAATTCAATCAAAGATCCTGATTCAAAAGAAAGCCAACCCATTATTTAACTTTGTATCCATTTTGTTTAGTTTCAGGATACCCCCCCCCCCTGGATGGGTACCAAAATCTATAAATGTTCAAGCCCCATTATATACACTGGTGTAGTAAAATGATGTCCCTTATATAAAATGTCAAAATTAAAATATGTTTTATGGATTTTAAAAAACATTTCCAAACCATGGTTGGTTGAATCCGTAGATGCAGAGTCCATAGATATGGCAGGCCAACTTTAACTGACAATTAAACATCCTAAGGCTGTGGGTGCCTTTTATTCCTTGATTACCAAATACATTTCAAGATAGTCTATCTACCTTTGCAGGACATTTGGCTGATGGGCCTCAGAGGATAGCACAGATTTCTGACTGCACATGGGTCTGTTAGAAATGTATTTGAGGCAACCACAATAAAGTTGCCAGAATTAAATGCTACAACTTAATGGAATGGAAGGACTAAAGCCTCCTTCTCTTTTCTGAAGTTCTTATTTATTCTGATTTACTCTTCCAATAATGCCTCAAGGTGGGTTATGATGCCTTGAGCTGTTGGAATCTGAAGCCCAAACAGCTGAAAAGCTCCAGCTTTAATCACACAGCTTAAAGGCCAGAATTCAAACTGCTTCCATTCTGTTGCCTAACTTTTCCTGCCCCCTTTTAAATGCCCTGGCTACCTCATCATTGTAACTATGCAGAGAGAACAGTGTCATCAGAGCTACAGCTGACAGTTCACTCCACCATAATATATATTTTCAGTTTGACATCACTGACCGAAGGATTTTTGAACCACTGGAAGTTTAGCTGCTGATTAATGATCTTCAAAGTTCTCCCAGTGGCTGAGTGCTTAAGAACAGACAGTGAGAAGGTCCTCTTTGCCACTATGTTTATCCCCAGCAAGAGGAGTGTGCTAAAGATATCATTTTTCAGTGGACCAACTAGATTGCAAAAGTGGGCTTTGAGGTCATGCTCAGTTTTTCACGAATGTACATATGAATTCCAGTAGTTACATATTGTAAGTTCACATCATGATATAACTGCTGAATAGGATGCCAGTCTTTGCATCTACTGTCTGAAACGGCATTTTAACTCATATTAACAGTATTTAAATAATACTAAAAGTGAAATGTGCAGATAGATAAGAGTCCTCTGCATTCTGACTAGAGCATGAGTTAGTGTGTTACCTTCTTCAATAAAAAAAATGAATTGATGAACGGAAACCTTTTCCAGCTTTTTGAGGTCATGAAAATATAATCCGTATTGTTTTTCAAAAATTATATCACATAAAGAGGAAAAAAAAACAATTTGTATGTGCTGCTTTTTCACAATATGATGGATTGTGGCAAATTGTTATTCCAAAAAGTCCTCCAAAAGGACCAAACAAAATGCAAACCTTCCATAATGAGCATTTTTATATTAAGCATTTTCACTCTGTACAAGTACGATAACTATGGTTATAATTTCAACTTTTCTGGAATTAATAGGTTACTCATCCAACATTTTGGAACATTAGAATGGCAGATATGTTGATATGCACGGTGTAGTCATATCATAAAAAAATAGATTGCAAGCATCTTTATATCCCATAAAAGTATGTCTGTCTGGCTTCAGTTTCTGAAGTAAATGCCTTTTAAAAGTTTATAAGCTGCATTTTTCTCTTTTTTAAAATTCAAACAAAGACAGGAAGAGAAGAATGCAGCTGATATAAAAGTGTACCAAAATCTATAAATGTTCAAGGGAGAAGAACATGACAGAAGAACTCTAAATTAATTCTGCCCTTCAGATGATTTCTTATTATCTGAGGAAACCTATTTTTAATTACTCTACTGCGGAAAACTACAGCAGATAAAAAAACTTAATACCCGGGGTCAAATCCATGCCCTCTTTCCATTTCACTCCTAGTGCTTGGAAATTTTGCTTTTTGGGCTTCATATCCCATGTCTACAAATCCCAGAATGACTTGGCCAGGATAGGATTGACCATGTTAGCTTGAGAATTCCAGAAGATGTAGACAACATAGTAACATCCCCATGCTTCGTGTGTTTGGTTATTTCCTTTTAGACTGTGCTCAGCCCTAAATTAAATTCCAAAGTAACAGTCTAATATGTACTAAAGATAGATCTACTTAAAAACAGGAAAAAAAATTAAGGAAACAGACATAAAATCAAATTGAAATGAAAACCTTGGGCAGGTCTACATACCTTAGGACACTGCCTGGCTCCAACATTATGACATGGTCATTATGAGCCAGTGCGTAATTTCCTTTCCTCTTCTATTCAAACATTCAGAAAGTTCATGAAATCCATTTGAGATAGAAGAGCCTACCATCTTGCATGGCAATAGAAGTTACACCTTAAGGCAAGATGTGGACCTGTAGCAAATGCTGTCATTTTACCACTATCATTGCTAACCTCTTTGCTTAATGAACAATCCTGTGGACCTTCCAAAGCCTGCATGATGTACAATATTTTCTGGTGTTTTAGTTAGCTCAAGCAAAATATGACTGTTTTGTGAATTTTATATTTTGTTCTCCACCCACCCCTTATCTATTCAGCTATTCAAAGCAGATCTCCTCCTTCATCTTGGCTTTGAAGAGGTGTCCTTTGGATTCAGAACCATATCTTAGAAATATTACCTTTTGAGATTTCAATTCCTAGAATCTTCCAGATATCCTGGCCTTTTGTCAATCAGGTTAAGAGATTCTGAGGTCTGAGGTCCCAAAAAGTGATTTTCAAGCTCAATTCAAAACAAGGACATAGAGAAGGGCACAAGCCCATTTTGAGGGGTGTGGTCTTTGTTTATGAAGTTCCCTACACACTTAGGATTTTAGCCTCCATCTCTTTCTTTTTCATGGTCAGTTTGTTAAAATTAGAATGTCTTTCCCCAATTGCTCTCAGCCAAAGCAGAAAAGAAGCATTGAACTTTACTTTCTTTCAAGACAAGCATTACTGAGCCTGCCAAATTATATCTCTGGTATTTGTGTTATAAATTTCTAGTGAGCAGAGTTAAATATGCATGGATTAATAGTTTTAATTTGTCTGTTATTGTTAGGAGTTAATATGACAAGCAGCATTAACATCCCAACTGTTTAATATGTTTCTTCCATTAATGCTCTTGTTTTCTGATTGGTGGCAGGCAAGCCGCTTCAGCAGTAAACAGATATTTTCCTGTTATTATTGTTACAATAGCATGCAACACACTTTGCAGTACCTCCAAAAATTTCCTTTCTATTTCCCCTATATATTTAGTCTAGATCCCATTGATGTATCAAAGCAGTTGGGTTTTAATCTAACACTTGCTCGTTTGAACAGTCTTCATGAAAAGCCCTTCAGTTTTTTCCCTTGTGAATTTAATCTTCTATAGAGAGTCTACTCAATGAACACTAGCAAAGAAAAGCTGTTTCAGACCACAGCTTGATACAACTGACAACATGTGTATTGTTGAAAGGGGCATGTGAGGAGCAATATATCTTTTCAATTCTACATAAATCCTTATTCTTTCAAAAGTGCAATAATACTACTAATAAAAATAATTCCATTACAGAGTTGACCCCTGAAGAAAAAGCACAGAAGATTGCCAAAGCAATGCGTAAGCAGTCTGCGGAAGTGAAAGAGAAGTGGGAAAGCCTTAGTTCTTGTGCCAACAGTTGGCAGAAGCAAGTAGAAAAGGCGCTAGAAAAGTTGAAGGATTTGCAGTGTTCTATGGATGACTTAGATGCTGACTTGAGAGATGCAGAGAATGTGAGGAACGGTTGGAAACCTATTGGGGAAGCATTGACTGACTCATTCCAGGATCACATTGATAAGACAACGGTAAGCACATATCTCCTTTTGAATATAATGTACATTGAACTAATGTATCTATGAAATTCAAATGCGATCAGTGCAAAGTCATTTGTAAAATCATAATTGCTTGTGTTCCCTCCTATTCCTTTGTCCAGAACAAAAGACCTGAGTCAATAAAATAAACAAAACAGTTATATTTCATGTCCTTCACCATGAAGAAGTGCACATTAACAATATAATTTGAAAACATGTTATGTATTGAAATAGTATTCTTATGGGAGCAGGGGGCATAGGGTGGTAGAAGGTGAGTTGAGAGAGTGTGACGTGAGTCCAAGGGTGAACAGGTAAACTAAAGGTACGTAGTGAAGCTGCTCCCTGGGTACATTTGTCTCACCCCCCACCCACCCACCCACACACATTGGTTTACCATTCCAGATGCTTAGGAAAGACAAAAGTATTGTTATTTTGGCAGGTCTGTAATGGGGTAAAGATCTTAATGTTTGTATTAAGAGTTTATAATTTTAACTAGATTCCTATATTTCTCAAGCAAGCTGCACCCAACATCTTTTGGCCTTTGTTGTTTGATGTTGAATAGAAATGTAGAATATATGTGCAGTTGCAGACCTTCAGTACCAGAAAATCTAATGAATACCTCACCATGAAGAAGCAAAATAAATCTGCTTTGTCTTTGAACTTCCAACATGTTCCACAATGCAAACATAGGCTTTCATATATCATAGTAATGCAAGCTCAAAATCATAGCCGACAGAACCTAAGGCAGAAAGTTTACTGTGATCGAATTCTGACGTTATTGGGTATTTTAGCACTGGAACTAAAAGCTTATTATCTGTCCTTTTATAGATAAAATGGAAAATAATAAATTGGAATGTTTCAGGGTAATGTAGCATTACACGCAAATACACTACACTCTCTCCATGTGTCATTCTTGTTTTCAAATAAAAATGAAACTATGGTGAATTCAATGGATTGATTTATAACCCTGCATTGCTTGATTTATATCTCCCCTGTTACTGAGTTAAATGTGATATAAGGACTCCCCCATATTAACATAAATATAGAAGAATGCTGTGGAAACTACTATGATGCCCTTTTCTTTCTGCATTAAAAAGGTAGTTGGCATATTGTAATGACATTTGTATAAAGGAAAGATAAGCTTATGATGCTTTCAGCATGTCAAAAACAAGAGCATTTCTGGAGGATTATCTTGGTCTCAAAGTCAAAGTGAAAATTTGGACTAATCAATCAGCAAATAAAAGTAGAAAATTTATAGTAGTTTTGAGGATTTTGGCTAATGAGCCAAAGTCTTCCTAATTTTTGTGATTTATGGAAGCAAAGTGTAGTACATCAACTGAGAAAAGATGCTGGATAAATTGAACTGTAGTGAATTTTGACACCTAGGGCTTATTTACATGAATCACTTACATTCAAGGCCAGTCTGGAGGAGCAATACTCTGTACTGGCTCTGGGGCAGTTACACTACACATTTCTGTTCTGTAGCAGCTGATCAGAGGCCAGACCATCCAGTGAGACTGAAACTGGTTTGGCCCCACTGGACTGTCAGCTTGCCTCACCTCAGTGGTATCCTTTTGCCGCTGCTGGACTGCCATGAAATTCCAGGGAACTCCTGAACATTGCCTGGTGCATGTGCAGATATTAGCAAAGATGCCCATACAATGACCAGGATCTCTCTGGAGCTCCCTAGTTGTTTGCTGAAGGTGATAAAAGCCCAATCCAGCTCTTTTACCTGTGCCATGGGGCACAGGAAAAGGGTTATGGTGGTACTGTCCTGTGTAGACAGTAGTTCCACAGTTTGGGTTGTAGCTGGTTCAGCTGTCCACACCAATCATGAAGTGCGGGACTGCTCCAAAGTTCCACCATAACCCCAGAGCACTGAACAATTTCTCATAACATGGGATAAAACCGTGTTAACTGATTTTACCCTGAATGGTGTACTAGAAGACCCTGTACTCCCAGGAGTAATTTCTTGTTGGATTTGGGATTTAGGGCCAGTGTAGAAAAGCTCCAGGTGAAAATGAAAAACTCTATGATTTATTTGACTCATTTTCCTCTCTGCATTACATCATTTTGGTGACTCTTTGTAGGTATGGAAACTGTATTTGAATTTTTAAAAGTCAATCTTAAGTAGAAAACTTACAGCATTTGTGGGTGGTATTTCATGCAACTTGTATGTTTAGATGTTACAGTAAATACCATTTAACACTTAGCCAGTTATGTGGTCATTGAATAAAAAGTTTGATAGAACCAGAATGAATGAGTGTGCTTGCCTGTGTTATGGTGTATAACAGGAGGTGACTCTGCTTATTAAGGTAATTTATTGAAGCCAGTGTATATTTACTGTTTCTAGGTATTTAGAGAAGAAATTGCACCAATCAGTTTAAAAGTTAAAGCTGTCAATGATTTATCCAGTCAACTCTCTCCACTTGATCTCCACCCATCCTTAAAGATATCACGGCAACTTGATGATCTCAATATGCGCTGGAAACTTTTACAGGTATTCTCATCTCCATGGTGGATTAGGAGTTAGCAAATATGCTCATATGATGCTTCTTTTCTCTTGCAATACGAACCAGTCTTTCATTGCTTGATTTGTTCTCTAAGACTTTTTTATACCCAGCTTTTCATCTGGAAAAGGTACCAGAAAAGCTTACATATAGCTCTATCAAAGTGAGGTTGCCCTTAGAGTTTAAAGCAACCAAACAATATCTGACTCACATGGAAAAGGGTATGAAAAGAGAAAGTCATAAACCAATATGCTGGTGATGACCTATGAAGTCCTGTAAGGCTTGGGTCCGGGTAGTTTGAAGGATCATGTATCATTTTATGATCCCATTCAAGCTTTAAGATCTTCTGGAGTGGCCATTATTTTTGTCCTACCACCTTTGTCTCATATTGGGTGGGAACAAAAAAGACAGGCTTTTCAGTAGGGGGATATGAGTTTTAAAAGCCAAATTAGTGTATTTACTGTATTTTGGTAGTTTTTACCACACTCTTATTCTTTAATTTTCTTTTAACTTTTGTATTGCTCTTTTGAAACCAGGTAAATTGTAAGCTGCCATGAAACCCATTATTGGGAGGAAGGTGGAAATAAATGAGTATCAGTCATAATCAAATTAAAACTCATCTGTCAATTCTTAATATTTTATTAAAAATTACTAGCTGTAAAAGTGATGGGAAGCAGGGAAAAACTTAAATCTCAGGTGCCGATTCTGAATGTTACATTAAGAATACCTGGTTGTAATACAGATGTAATGCAGCTGGAATTGTCAGTCTGCTTATCATAATTAGCTGCCTTAGAAAAACAAAACAAAAAGCAATGAAAGAGAATTTTTTCACCAGTAGAAAGGGGCAATCTGATATGAATTATTCACCTTTGCTGCTCCACTCCACTGCTCAACAAGAAACGTCTCCCTAAATCCAATTTTCATTCTTTTGACTGATACCCTCTGTTTTGCCGTTTTGTTTCACAGTATATCTGCATGTACATATTCCATATATATATAGTGTAATGTTCTAGAATATCATCATAAATCATGATTATTAACAGTTGCCATTTATTTATCTCTCTCTACCCCCTGTCTTTCTCTCTCTGTCTCTAAGCATACCGGGACAATGTATAAAGCCAGTCTACTTACACTACCACTGTTTCCTTTCACCCTGCACTTATTCTGTTGTATGCCAAATGCATCTGTGTCTGGTCTGGCTTGTGTTGAATGATATAGGCAAATAGTCAGAAGGAAGGGTGAACCTTAGTTTCTAATGAAGGCAGAAGCTTTTCCAGTCTGGAATCAGAATTGTTTGCTTTCTGTCAAGTTCTGGGTCTGTCATGAGGTTGGTGTAGTCTCATTTAGTAGCATGATCAGACCATTTTTGGATATCTACAATGACACCTTGATGTCACCACTAACCTAGTTGCTGCATTTTAGCCATTAGATACAGTTATGAAAAAGTTAAACAACTAAAACAACAACAATAACAATGAATTTATTACCCGTCTCTACCTGCGGCTCGAGGGAGGATACAACATCATTAAAACAAGAGATAAAACACTATTAAAACATATAGCAAGATACACAGGGTTAAAATACAAGTTAAAATCAATTGATGAAGTGCAGATTAAAATTTACAACTTAAAATGGTAGTATCTCTGCTTTTCAGCATAAGGTACAGCAGGATGTAGTGCAACCTGGAGTACCCTCTTTTTCTATAATATCAGAGCTTGCATGGAGTCAAATGGATTCCTCTGCCACTCCCAAAACATTTCAAACCCTTGTAGATTATTCAGACCCTTGTCTGAATAATCTACAGTTGGTCTTGAAGAAAGTTTAGTGGGAATTCATTGAACTAGATTACAGTCTTATATCATTATTCCTTCTTCGGAGTCTTGCCAAAGGCTTTGTGTACACCTCAGCTTAGTTCTGTTTGTTTCCTTTTCTGACTCAAGGCCGAATTTCAACCTCAAGAGAGGAAAAAATGAAAGTGCAAACTGTGTGAAAGCTGGGGAAATGCTCCTTTATCTTTGACATCTGCTACCTGCAGAGTTTTGATGTTCTCTGCTGAGAAGTAGTGTGTCCTTTGAGATGAAATTACTAACATTTCTGAGACATCTGTGTGTTTCTTGCAATGTAATTTTGTATCTGGAATGCCTTGCAGAGATTTTTATGCCTTATGGAAATTTGACTGAGCAGCCCGGCTCCCTCTGGATGTGCAGGAGCAGTTTAATTAGTAAACCAGGGGGATATCTGCCCATCCTTTCAACCAGCAAAGCAGCATGCTCCAAAGTGGTTCCTTGTAAAGGCAGCTGTGAGATCAATAGACTAAAAATGAGGCATGCTGACTGCAGACATTTAGACAAGGAAAGAGGAGAGGGAGAAGCACACGTTTCAAGGGACAGTATTAGTCACTGTGAAAACCTTATTTGTTATTGATTTGCATTGCTTACAGAAAGACCATTAGGCGCTTGTATTCAAATATCAAAAACAAGATGGTAGATGTAAATGGACAATATAATCTGCACTATGTCTAAAGTCTGTTTGCTAGCAATGATTGTAAAACATTGTTTGTATTATTGGCCATTAGAATGGCTGGTTTGTGTAAACATCTCAGAGTATTTTAACTTTTTCTTCTATATATTTGTACACACAGATATCTGTAGAGGATCGCCTTAAACTACTACAGGGAGCACACTGGGATTGTGGGCCTCCATCTCAGAATTTTCTTTCCAGTAAGTGATAATAGAGCATGTTGTTTTTTACTACAGCTTTATACTGACTACAGTTAACGAATGTTTTTGAGAACTTGTCTGGCTAATTTATTCCTGCCACCCTGTTGTTTCACACAGTATGTTCAAAAATGTATTATGATCAGGATCAGACATTCAGGTTGGATAGTGCATATTTGTCTAGAGCAAATAGATACTTTAGTGTATCTGTGCACACACACATGTGAACCTGTTCTGGATATGGTTGCATTCCTCCAAAAGAGAAGATGTGTAACCTGAGAGTACAGTACTTCTTGATCTGTCATTTTCATTGAAGGCCCAAATAGACTATGGTGCCCTTGGTGCCAATTCCAACTCTTACACTTAGGCAGGGTAACAGCCACAATAGTGCAAGCAACTAGTAACTTCACAGTTAGTCTACTGCAATGTATTTTGTGTGAGGCTGCCCTTGAAGATGACTCAGAAGACAGACTTGTTTCAAAATACAGCAGATTGTTGACAGGAGTATCATAGAATCACAAAGTTTGAGGAGACCCCAAGGGCCATCCAATCCAACCCCTTGCCATGCAAGAACACATAAACAAAGCACCCTCATTAGATGGCCATCCAGCCTCTGGTTAAAAACCTCCAGAGAATTAAACTCCAGCAAATCCTAAAATCTTGTTCCACTGCCAAACATCTCTTACCATCAAGAAGCTTTTCCTAATATCTAAGTGGAATCTTTTTTCTTGCAATTTGAATCCATTGCTCTGTGTCCCAGTCACCAGAGCACTAGAAAACAAACATTCTTTCAAATATTTAAACACGACTATCATGTCCCCTCTCAGACTTCTATTTTCCAAGACAAAGTATGCTTCTGGTATTAAGTTGTGAACTGGCTACTACTAGTTTGCTTCCCACTTGAATTCACAGAACTGGCTGGCAGTAATGTTCAAATACTTGAATACTTTACCTTTGATACTTTCACCTGCCCAAAACTGAAATCTGCAAGAGGGGTCCTCCATGTTTGACTAGTGGAAACAGTACATCACACAGGGAGGTGGTAGAAGGTATACTTGCTTTTGACATCTTCTTTAGGGAATTTCCTTCTGACAGAATTAATTGCCACCAATGTTTGTTTATTTTAAATGCTAAGTTAACATATTGCTTTTTGTAAAGTCTTTATATCCCATACCTCATTTTAAAAATGTACATTGGTTTTAACTATTGTAGCCTTTTCTGCTGTTTTAACTTGGTAGCCTATTTAATATGCTCTTTAAATTGGTTTATTGTTAAATTGTGTTATTGTTTCATTTTCTGGGATGTATTTTCTTTGATCGGTGCTCTGAGATCTAACAGTAATGGGCAGGATCAAAATAGTTTAATAAATAAATTTAATGAAGAAAGAATAGCAAATAAAATAGCTCCATGGTGTCTGTAGTCGCGTGATACACTTCTGTAGTGAACAGGTGCCAAGTATTTCTAGGATTTCAGCCAGTACCTGCATTGCTAATAACCTGTACCAATGGAAATACAGAGCAGCTTGATTGTCATTCATATAATATCCTATGAGGCAGAGCCATTAGGAAATGACAGTTCAAAGATGTAATGGAATAATTATTGAAGTTTGTTTGCTGTCTCAATCAATTTGTCAAGGTATACAATTCTTTCCCTCCTTTCCTTCCTTCCTTCCATCCATCCATAAGTCTGGTCTGGTCTTTTTGGTCAGACATTACCTCAAATTTATCAAGCAGCAATACAAAATTCTAATTTCCAGGGAATACTACCTTAGCAATATACACAGTTGTCCAACCATACATACCTTTGCAATGATTGGAGGTGCAAGACCCCAATGAAAGTGGATAAACCATGAAGGTTTTAGGGCTCTCTCACGTGTGAGGAAGGGAGACAGGTCACTCTTACCACTGTGGTCTCCCTCACTCTAGTTCTGTTGGCCCACGATCTTTGCCTTTTTCTCCTGTGGCAAAGGTAGCTGTGGAGGCACAACAGAGTAAGGGAGCCTCATAAGATAGCTGGGAAGGTCACAAGGCTCATGCAGAGAGAGGAACATCTTCCCTTCTTTCTCAGCTGGACACTGTCTTTGATACTGCCTCAGGCAAGGGGGTTCATGGTGGTGACGATTCTTGGTGCTCCCTCTCCTGAAACTTGTGGCTGTTGTGTGTGAATGTGCATTCAATGGCTATGGGTGGGGGGTTAGCGGCAGCAGGGATTCTTTCTGTCACCTTGTACTAGTGCTTCTCATATGTCCTTAACTGCTTGAAGAATTTCATTTGGCATCCATTAAGGCTTCTCTTTCTTTTTGGCTGCAAATAATGTCATTTTGCATCATTCTCTGACAGGGGCTTCAGTCTAGAATCCCTCTGGCTTGCAGCTAACTATGCTTTATGGTCCAAATCTAATTTTTGCATTAACTTTAAATTCTATAGAAATATTTTCCAGGTTGTAATTTGGCACTGTGATTAGTTTAGTGTTCTACTTTAGCCTTACTCAATTTTTTATGTTAGCAGTTCATTGTGTACTCCAAAATCTGCTTCTGATCTTGTTTTTGCATGGAAAATAGAGCTCCTCCATCTTTTGCTTCTGTGTTATGTGCTCCTTTGATTGCTTTGATTGCTAACCTTTCCTCACTATTCATGCTACCCCATTTATTCTTAGTCTTTCAGTTCCTGAGTAAAAAAAAGTGTGTAATTATCTGACTCAAAATGTGCCAACCTAAATATTTCAATGTTTATGCATTTTCTCACAACAAACAAAGTCTCTGTCATGCTATTTGAAAACTTGCACCTGTTGTATATAGCTTTGGTAGTGAAAGTATTCCTGCAGATTCAGCTGTCCTGCTGTGGTTTAGGAGTAAGGAGATGGAAAAAATTAAGAGATCTTTGTTTCCACATCCCCTAGTGTTTTGTTTTGTTTTGTTAACTTCCTTTATTACCCAGTTTGCCACACTGCCAGCTATGGATAGTGATTAATGGTCAGGCTGACATCAGTGACAATCCACCTCGATTCCCCCAGAGTATGAAGCACTTAATAGTTTGAAAAGCCTCTTTAAACTCAGTAGTTCTACATTCACCAGTCCTGCTATCTGGGAGTAGACACCATTGAGCTCAATGGTACTTCTGAGGAGAAGACTCTAATGTGAGACACTAAAACAAGTGTTATTGAGGTAGCTTCATATCCTAGTAGCCTAGTTGATGTCAGCTGACTGATGCTTGATTATATATAAGAGAAATATAGAGGAAAGGAAATATTAATTAACCGAAGTTCCTCTTTCTAACTTAAAATTTGAAGCAAGCTTTCAAATGCTAATTAGAAGGAACTTTAGAATTAATTAACATTAATTATAGTGGCTCGTTCAGATGCAGATGTGACACTAAATCTTCATTAGGACACACAAGTGGAGGAGGAAGAATTATTGCTCATGCACAAAAGATCCACATAATATTTTATAGTATATCAAATATATGTGTTTGTATAGATCTAGGTGCTACCCATTAGCTAAGTGTCATTTGGCTCACATCAATTGTCAGTATTAGACTTGGTAGGCAAGAAGTTCAGATGTTCAGCAGCCTGGTTATTTAATTTTTTTTAATTAAATACACTATTCTGTAGACTCAGAGCAGTTTTCAGCAATGCTATTGAAGAACTCAGAAACTGAGCAAATGTAATTATTTGGCAAAATAAATAAAACTGAAAAAATAAAAACACATCACCTTTTTAAAAATAAAAAAGGTCAGAAGTTTATATGCCATCACAAAACCTGTGACTCCTGAAAACTATCAAAATGGTATGCAGCCATTTGCTAAATAATGTAAATTAATAGTTTAAGACTAAGCAGAATCCTCTTCCAAGCTTGGTGGGAAATAGATCTTGAGTCCTTGGAATGATCCCCTTCTACAGAAGCAGTTGCTCTTGGCATTGATGGCCACCTGAAATGTTTTTGCAGATGTGGAAGATCAGGGTCAGTAGTGGTGATTACTACCAGGATCATGTTGTTATACCACACTGGTATAGTATTGGTGACAGGAGAGTGGTGACAGGAGAGTGGGAAAGAGAAATCTCTGTAGCAGCAGTCATGAAGTAATTAAAGTACTGGTAAAGTGGGTTGTTCAGAGGTAGCAGATTTTGTCTGCCTTCCTCAAAATACCATCACTTGCATAGTCATCACTTATTTATATAGCACCATCACGGTACAAGAAAAAGAATGAAAAGAAAACAAGTTTCCTACCCTCAGGCTTAGAATCTAAAAAGACAAGACAAACAAGGAAAGGGGATGGCATTGAGGGAGGAAATTAAGTACAGCCAAAACACACACACACACACCTGCACACAAAACTCTATTCTTCTCTCTATCCAAGGCCAGAGCAGTCTCGTTTGGGATGAAGGGGACTTTCAGATTCCCAGATCCTGAAGAACTACCTATATTCAGTACCATTTATAAAACAAATCTACCTGTAAAGTCAGATATTCCTCTCCTCCTTCATGATTATGACTTGTGGTTTCTTCCCTGTAGATTCTGTTGAACTACCGTGGCAGAGATCAGTATCACATAACAAAGTTCCATACTACATCAAGTAAGTTCACTCTTGTTCTTGTTATAATTACATTTGAAGAAATTCACAATAGTTTTGAACAATCCATTAAGCTTTAAGTGATTTTTGTGTGCCGTTGCCACCAGGGGGCCTGTGCTATGTTGTTATGTACATGTAAATATAATAATAATAAATATACAATGCCTTTAGTCTTGTATGCCAAAGAGTGCTGATACCCCACCAAACATCTGCTCCTGTGATGCCATAGCATCAGCCATGGCAGTTAAAGTGGTGTCAAACTGCATTAAGCCTATAATATAAATGCACCCATGTCCAGCTTACCAGCTGATTTCGTACACATGTTTTGATAGACATTATTACAGTACTTATGGGACATACATTTTTTAAAGTATGTGGAAAAAATTCTCATGCAAAATTACAAATTCATACACAATTGTATTAGCAGCACCATTAAGTTAATAATGTACATGTAAATATAATAATTTTATATTAATATAATATATTTATATTAATATTTTATATTAATAATTTTATAATAATTAAAGAGATGTTGTTATAACTTGCCTAGAAAGAACCTGTATTATGAAATATCCATGATATTTAACATTCTCAAAGTCTGCATGAAATTCAATTTGGAGATTCCCTTATATTGCATTTCTTAATGGTAACAGACCACTACCATCCTTTGTGCTAATATTTTTCCCTTTGGGATACCTAAACATGTGTGTGTGTGTGTGTGTGTGTGTGTGTGTGTGTGTGTGTGTGTATATATATATATATATATATATATATATATATATATATGGACAAACATACTTTTGCACATTTTATTCAAAATTACTAAATTTTAGAAGTGCTTAAAGTTACTATGAGAAAGCATGATATCTTAAAATATCTCTAGAGGTATTGTGCAATAAATTTTATTATCAACTATATGGGTTAAACATTTCAAATCCTATTAATTTGAAAGGGAAAATATGTGAATACATAGATGTTTCAATTGAAGTTAGTGGGAGCTTAACAATTAATTGAACCACTTGGACAACCTTCCAGTTTTGAGAGGCAAAAGTAATTGATTGCTATAAATGATCAGTACAGTTATGAAGAGCTGTTTGGCATATTGCTTGTATTATGTACCTTTTTTGCTTTGAGATTTAAATGTTGTTATTGCAAAATATTTGGTGGGAGAATGGAAGTGGGGGACGGGGAGGCAGTTTCTTACCATCTTTTTGTAGGCATGCACTGGAAAACTATTCCTAATGGGTAGAATATTCTGCTAATTATCCTACCACTTTAATTTTCATTTCTTCATTATTTTATTGACTAGCATTAATAAAGTTCAAGTAGTTTGCCCAAGCAAAAAGTCATCCTTCTATTTACAGATTGATTCTTCTGCATATATTTTAATTAACTTGATAGTGATAAATTATGCAAGCCATGTTCTCAACTACTGGTATCTACATTTCATGTGATAACTCAAAGGTATTTCTGAAGTGAAATACACTATGATTTACACTGCATAAAATGTATTTCTCTTACCTCACCCCTTTTGTGCCAGACTTGTTTAAATGTTTAATATACTTCCATACGAATGGACTCCAAATGGAGAAAATTATTCCCAGTCTGATGTGTACTTAAAGTGGGGCTTGGTTCTAGGACCATCAGTGGATATCAAAAACAGTGGATGCTTAAATCTAATAATATACAATGAATTGGTAAAATTGTATCCTTTGTATAAAATGATGAACAAGTCCATTCAACTGCTGGAGAGAGCTTGATAATCTGTGCAATTGTGGGAGGTGCAGTAGAGTATGCTTAGGGCTTAACACATAACAAAATCAAAGTTTGCTTTTTGATTTTTAAAAAAGTATTCTCCAGTTGTGATTAGTTGACTCTATAATGCAGAATCTGTGGATGTGGATGACCAACTATATTTAGAAGTACAGTACATAACTTCCCTTGGTCATGTTTTCATAAGTGAAGTACCTTATTTTAGCAGTTATGACTGTAGAAACAGAAACTTTCTTGTTCCACCTAGAATGGTACCTATGTGAGGTCAGATGTTATGGTCTTTGCAAATGTATGTTCTCAGGTTTATTCAGCCTACTTTGCATGGAATATTTCTGTTTTGAATGAGAAAGTAAAATAATAGTGCAGCTATTCTTGTGCAAATAAGACATGAAATCTATTAGGGCCATTATGCCAGTCTAACTTTATGAGCTTTGTCCTGTAGAAAGGGGGAATTATAGTAATGGAATTCTTCTGTGTCTGCTTCTCTGTTGGTTCTTTCTACATGCTTATGTAAGATACATCTAGTTATCCACTAGGAAAGCAGGGTCTGCTGCTCAACAAGTGGGCTAAAGGCTGGTTCACCATGTAAGCACAACTTTTTTTGCCCTCCTTACCTGAAAAACCACTGGAACGGCTACCAAAATATTACCTGCTGAATACAATTTTGTCCTAAGCTTGTAACTTCTTCCCATTTTAGTGTGTTTCATATTGTAGTAGCAAACTGAGAAAAAAATTATGTGGGATCAGTGATAATGATGACAGAGAATAAATATTTGCTTGGGCAAACTACTTGAACTTTATTAATGCTAGTCAATAAAATACACACATCCCACATAGAAGCTGTCACATCCATTTGTAGGATAACTGTTAGATTTTGTCTTCTTCTCCTCTCTTAAAATGTGCAAGAAATCTGAGAGTTTTTTAACAGTGTCAGTTGACAGAATTTCTTCTGAAGTGTAGTATTTTGCCGAATTCTTTCAGTGCAAAGGTTTGATTTCCTGTGCTTGTATTGCAAAGTGCTAGTGGAGCACAGAGCAAGTCAGTAGATGAAGTTATTTTGAGAAATTAGTAGTCAGTGCATTTGCCCTTGACAGCACCTGGTTGCCAATTTGCTTTGTCTTCTTGTAGGACCACTTTGGGTGTAAAACTACCATTATTTTTTTCCTGGGTAGCTAGCTGCTAAAGCTTGTCAAGTGGAAAAGTGTTTTGTGTGGAACAAAAAGTCTTTCCGAACCATGAGAAGTTTTTCATTTGCCTTTTGCTGTCCTAGTCTTTGAAAGGTAGACTGTTTGGTCTGTGTAATATCTCTGTATCCTATTTTTCAGGGCTATCTAAAGGACAGAGGAGAAATAACGATGCTGTCAACAATGTACTTAATCAAATGGATTAGTCTGTTTCCACAACCCAATTCAACAAAGTAATCACAAGGGTGCAATGATTATCTTTTGCACTTGCAGGGGAAAGCTGAGTTGAAAATTGGCCACAGCTTTATTAAGTGTTTATCAATATCTGGCAAAATCTCCCTTTTGGGGTAAGGTCTAACTGCTACAACTCAAACAACAGGATTCTGAGATGGAAAGTGTGTCTCTAGGCATGTAGGCTGTGCTTGGGATGCTACATGCTGCATTATCCCCTGGTTTTTGCTACATCACTTTTCTAGGCATTGGAGGGATGTTTTCAAAAACACACAGCTGTCTAAACAAAAAATTCAGAAATAAAAATGTTGCCCCAACCATACCCAAGCCCATGGCCTTTGTCAGATTGCCAAACTAACATACATTTCCACTGTAAAGATAAACCATATTCTATTTGCAGCACCATTAGAAAATAGATGATAAGGAGGAATTTAAATGCAATTGAACCTAGCCCTTCTTAGGCAGGAGTGAGAAACCTTTTGCTTTTCAAGTGTTTTGGACTATGGGGGGCTGCTACACTGACACTCTAATCCAGTTGGAACTGGTTGAAAAGAAACCTGTTTTGCTGCAGGGTGATTAGACTAACAGGTCCAAAACTGGTTTCAGGCCAGGAAAGTGATTACATTTACCAGAGAAACTAGCCCCAAACCACTTTGCAGTTTTTTTTCACAATTTCTGAAGACATGTGCCTCACTGCACTGACGGTGTATGGTTGAACAATAATAGAAAGTGATAGTTAAAAGTGGAAGTAATCAATTACTTGGGGTGGGGGTGGGGGAAATAAGCTTCCTACTGCCCAGCTATGCCCTTGCGACATTTTTCACCCTTCAAGATTCTTTACTGCGCTTCAGAAGAGTGAGGTGTCTACAATGCCTTCCGCATTTTACTGAGCTTATTTCACCCTAGATCTTTGATACACAGGGAGCAACTACAGCACATTTTCCTGGGACTTATTTTAAAGTGCTGTGTCACTCTTGATACCACTGTGGTCTTGAGATGTCTTTAAACCCAATTATAGTGTCCGAGTAGATGCACCCTTAGACTCCTAGAGATCAGCATGACCAATGATGAGGGACTGTGGGAGATATAGTCCAGATTATGTGGAGATCCATAGGTTACCCATTCCTGCAGTGAGGCTTTGTCAACATATTTTTTCCCAGCCCACAGTGTGCTGCTCATAACCCAACATTTTATGCCTTCTCTTGCAGCTTGCTCAAAATCAAGCGCTGATATTAATCTTTGTAACAAATAAATCACTGTCTCTCTCTTTACTGTGAGAAAGCTATCAGAAACTGCTCAGTTTTTGCAGTTTTAAAATACAGATTTGATGGTTTTGTTCCACTCTGAATTGTAGTTCAAATTTTAAAGGAGCTACTTGGTATGTTAAACTCCATACTTCAAAAGGTGTTGTGCCTTGGATATGTTTTTTAAAAAAATCAGGCTAAACCTAAGAGCAGATCCAATGGCCCATTGACAGTGCAAGGCATAAGGTGCCACTGCTGCAAACTGTAGCAACTAAACACCCAAAAAGGCACCATACGTGCCTAAAAAGGCCCCTTCAACATCTGGTGCTTCCTCTTAGAGGCACATCATAGTAATACAGAATTTGTACTAATAGAGGAGCAAAGAATTACAAGGTAGGAGAGTTCCAATTAAATTAAAAGAGTGGACAATCTAATTAATTCCTGAATTCTTACTCATATGACAGCTTCCTAAGGTCTGCAAGTTTAGATTCCTTTTCAAGACAATAGGATTTACTCTCATTTGATTCCAGTTCATCTGTTGTCTACTCAATGTATTTGATGAGAGTCTTTT